TAAAAAGGGTAAATTGGTCAAATGACCCTAAAAAGGGTAAATCGGCAAATGACCCTAAAAAAGAAAAATTGTCAAAATGAATTGACGATTTATTCAAAATCGACCAGGTGACCCTAAAAAGGGTAAATTGGTCAAATGATGGTTTATTCAAAATTGATTATGAATTGACAAAATGGATCGATTGAATCGGCCGGCCATTGGTGGTTTCAGAAAATTAGTCTATGAGCCTTCTAAAATCACGATTTGTCCAATTTATTTATCGTCTCAATAGGAGGAATCATTTGTGAATTTCTTCAAATTAATGTCCTTCACGCAAGGGATTTTTACCAATTTTTGATAAAATGGCCAAAAAGTGATTATTAGATGCTCATATTCCAAAGATCACTCTATGAAAATGATCGGATCCTACCTTACCTTGTGCACTACTCCTTTGGATGGTACAAAATGTAAACGTGCAAGTCTCACTGGATTAATTATCCGAGACACAAGGTGCATATTCCTAACGCGGGATCCCCTAAATGGCATTCCCTTTTTAGGGTGGATGCATGATGCCATTTTTATCAAAGCAAGAAAAAATGCAATTCGAAATGAAACGTGACCTAAGGAACCCTTTATCTGCCAGGGTAAGCCTAAAATGACATGGCATTATTAATTTATGAACAAAAAATATCACAATTTTCAAACATGCAATAACCTATCTACAGGGGTAGGTCCTAAAAGAGGATCGTGCCAGACCTCTTATTTCCTAACGTTTGTGAATGCAAAAGACACAAAGACAAGGAAACGTGAGTTCAACACATAACACATAACACATTTGGACAATTAGATAATATAAAGAGCAACAGAGACAGATAAGGAAAAAGGATGGCGACCCCTCCCCTCCGTGAATAGTGTTTCCTAATTTAGGGTAAGGTCGACTCTACCCTAGGCAATTCTAATATGGATGCATGAGGTTGGGGTTCGCTAATGCATCTAGACTCGATAAGCTCAATAGGTCCCCGAGCCTTCAGACTTAGAAACCAAGGGTCATCAATCCCAAGGTTCTTTGTCGGTGGCTCGAGTGATTCCCCAAACACCGCTACGCACACATCGTGTCGCGGCTACGTGTTTGAGTGAATCTATCAAAATCCTCAACCTTCGACTAAAAGCTAAAGGCTATCAACCCATAGCTTAAAGCGGAAGATTGAGTGACCATTGGATCATGCTACACACACATCGTGTCGTGATCACATGTCCAAGTGGATCACCTAAAATCCTAATAGGGTGGAGTGGCGTGACAAGCCACTAAAAGAAAAATAAATGAGGGGTAAAAATAATTAAAGCGTATGCACGTATGCTAGTGCTCGTTTGGAGGGAGAGATCAAGAACCAACGTGAGGCTCTAAGGTGATGTCCCCCACCCAAATGCAATGCAAGCGCGAGATAAGCAAGTAAACATACATCCAATCAACCAAACATACATTCGCGAGCGAGGAGTAGTTGGATACGCTTGAAATGCAAAAATCCTAAAAAAGGGAAAAATGCACCCTAAAACACCCAAATGTGATATATGAAAAGGTTAAAAGAAGAAAAAGGTTGATTAAATCAAATTTGCTCGGACTCTCGAATGTCCCCAGTGGAGTCGCCAACTGTCGCGCCCATTTTTTGATAAATAAATAAAATGGTTTAAAAAAATGTATTTTTTTGTGATTGGAAAAAATGAATTGTGATTTAAAAGAAAAGTGGGCCTAAATGGGGTTTGAGAATGCCGACGATTTGACCCAAAATTGTAGTTTAAAAAGGTTTTTGAAATAATAAAATTGGAGTCGCCACTTGGTAATGAGTTAAGGTGTACCAAGTCACCTAAAAAATGAGTTTTTTAAAGGAAAAATAGGAAAAAGTAGTAAGAAACCCCTTTTAAACGACTCCTAGTCCACGTAAACCAACGAAAAAGGTTCGGGAGTCACATTTGACGAAGGGGAAGGCAAGGATAAAAATCCAAGGCACCCCTTCGACCTAGCCAAGGCTAGTTGCTGATTTAATCAAAATTTCTTGTTTTAACCAAAGAATTTATTACATTTGGATGCACTACATGAATGCAAAAGAAAAGAAAAAATGCAAACCTAAATTCTAAAATGTCTCTTGTAAGGTTTTTGGTCCAACCACATGAATTGTGGCGGCAATAAAGGAAAACCTTATAGAGGTCGATTAATGCAAATGATGGCTAAAGTACAAGTGTGCAAGTGTATAAAAAGGTGCACGTGTGAAATTGTATGAAAAATCCAAGTGTTTGTGTGCCAGTGTATGAAAAGGTGCATGTGAAATTGTATGAAAAATCCAAGTGTTTGTGTGCAAGTGTATGAAATATAGTGATAAGTGCATATAGGTGTAATTAAGTGTACTTTTGTGAAGTAGAAATCAAAATGAACAATAAGGAAAGGAAAAGTGATGAGGAAATGTGAATTGAAAAATGAATAAGTGATAAAATGAGAATGAATGAACCTAAAGGAATGCATCAGGTCGGGTATGGGAATGACTCCTAACTTTTTCGACTTCGATTTTCCCTTTGATTAGAAAGCAAAACTAGCGTGCTAAGGCTATCGAGTAGCCACACTCGCTCGTTTCCCTTATCAGAAGGGGACTCTTCAGGCAAATGTACCCTAACTAGCATGAGATGCAAGACCTAAAGTGAGGGGAAAGGGGATTAGAGGGACATGCCAAATGATAGAAAAACTAAAAGAATGCATGACATGTAATGAACATGCAAACATGTACTAACGAGGGGAAATCCCTAAGGGTCTAGCGTTGGACTAGCCCATTCTATGAATTCCGACTAGCGTTGGACGAGTGGAAACGTACATTCATCCATCACATTCATTCAAACTATGGAAAGCGAGTAGACATGCCAAACACTTATTGTGACAGCCCCAACTTCCCCTAAGGCGAACAAAGAGGTTAGCGGACCGCCTGCCCAGCTCTCGCCAGGACTAACGGTGCAGTATAGAGCGATCTTTCACATTCCGGAACTTATAGCGCGCGCAAATAAGGCAAAAGGGCAAAATAACCCAAAATAAAGAAAATGAAATCTGGAGTCGGCCATGAATAGTAACCAACTCGTCCGAACCCAACCAAACATCGAATTACATATACCACATAACATTTAGCCTTTACAAACCAAAATGACGTTTAAAAGTGATACAAAAGTCACTACATATATGGTTTGCCAAACAAAAGTGAAAACGGCCCTAATGATACATTTAGGGTCCCATTTTATATACAATACAAAAGAGTCATTCATCTAGTTCATTCGGCAACCATTTATCAAAATTCATTCCAAAAGAGTCATATTCCTGTAAGGAAAACAAAAGGAACGGGGTGAGCTAATTGCCCAGTGAGAATACAACTCAAGCAACCAAGTTCATGGATACATCAAGCTTAATAGTCCAATTTACCAAAATAAATAAAGCCACACATTAATAATGAGGATAAAAGGATACGGGTGGCTCTCAAGAGCCCTTTGTAAGGATCGAAGACAACCTAAGAGGGGGGTGAATTAGGCTTTCAAAAACCTGCTAGTAAATATTCAACCTTTTTGGACAGACAGCCCTTCTTCTTCAAAATGCTTCTCAATGAACAAGATAATATAGTAGCACAGGTATTAGTGAGATGAGGAGAAGAGCAGTTTATATAGAAAAGCAGTAAATGAGAGTTAAGGACCAAACCAAGCTTCAAACACAACTGATGTTTGAACACCTCTATTATATACCAAGTTACTTCAAGCTGAATAGACTTGCAACCAATCTTATGTGTACAAGGAAGGGATCACTTCCTTCTTGCCCCAAAACACACTTGGTCAAGCAAGGAAGTTTTACATACACTCGCAAACCCTCACTATGCTACACTATTGAAGAAGCTATATCACACTTGAAAAAACAGCTTCACGAAGATTGCACATGCAAGGAATACAAATGTTTCTTTTGAGTATTCTAGCACTTGAATCACTCACAATCTGATGTAAGCTTGATGTACAAAGTTGTCTTGAGGTGGTTGACTTTGTTCCTTTTATAGGAGACCAGAGAATTCCTCAATTAATGCTGTTAACGGGTAGAAGGCAGCTGAAGAGTCAACTAGCCGTTGGTGCTGTCGGACGTCCGATGGTTGGATTTTCTGCGTCCGAACGAGATCAATGAGTTCTGGAAGTTTTCTTGAAATCCTTCGGACGGCCGATGCGTTCAGAGTGTTGTGTCCGAAGAGCAGCAATACTTGTCGGACGTCCGATACACAGATGTTGAGCGTCCGATCATGATTAGTAGTCATCGAACCTCTGGCTTGTCTTCTTCGGACGTCCGAGTCTGAGTTCTTTACTCGTCCGAAGATGCTCAAAGGATATCGGACGTCCGATACTTTCCTTTTGTGCGTCCGACATCATCCTCAGCAATCTTCATACTTTTTGATCTCCTTTATCTGCTTTAAAGCCTCAGACCTGTTTGGTTCATTTCTGAAAAGGATTTCTACAAGAGGTATTAGAAATATCCATTTGTTTTGTAATCATCAAAGATATGAGTTGAGATAAACAATCTCCCCCTTTTTGATGATGACAAAACAATTGGATGGAGCAAAAAAAATGTAGCAACTCCCCCTAACGAGGTGCATAAGTAAATTTAACACAACTCCCCCTGAGACTGACTCCCCCTAACTAGTTGCTTACACCACCAGTTCCAATTCCAATTCTCCCCCTTTTTGTCATCACACAGTATACAGAAGCAATATTAGAAGCAATATCATCCCATCAGAAGCAGTATCAGTATACACAGTAACAATATTCAGCACAATTTGGAATCAATTAGAAACATTCAAGCATAAACACATAACCAACTATAACACATATTCAAAACATTATAACATTTTGAAACAGAAAATATGGCTAGATATTACAGACCAGATGTTCAGCACTTGATACAAAAGTGCAATGCAAAAAGATGAACTATAATCCTAGATAAAGGTGCAGTGGCCTAGTAGTGCCTAGATGGTGATTTTAGATGATCCAGGCCTTCTCCTGGCCAGACGATACTGTGCAGGATCCTCTTCTTCCTCAGTTTCTTCATCACTATCTTCAGATGCTTCCTCAGTTACTGGAGCCTTGCCTTTATCCTTGGGCTGAGAACTAGAAGCTGGAGTAGTCTCATCACCAGTGGTTGGCCTTGTGGGCTCAGTTCTTGGTTCTTTCTGATGAGCAGCTTCATTTGTTTCAGGTATAGGGGGCACAAGAAGATTCCTTTTTTCAAGAAAGGAGGATTGTTGGGCAGAGGTCATGGTCATCATGAGACCATCTTCAAGAAGCATAACATGCTGTTTGAGGTCTTCAAGCAGGAGATGACCTCAGAATTGGAAGAGAAGGACTTACTGGCAGACTTTCTGGGATGAATGGTGAAAGGAGATATATACCCTGACTGATCATGGGGAGTTCTAGGAGTGACAGGGGTTTCATGCAAATTTTTTCTTCTAGACTCGGCTACAGTCTCTTTGTAGCACCAATGACCCTCAAAAAATTTTAGATTCTTTCTTTCAAAGTAAGCTTTGGAGAAAACTGAAGATGCACTTTCTTTTGGAGATTTGCCAGAAAAGGGTATGTCAAAATGAGCAAAAATGGGGGTCAGAAATCTGCCATAGGAAAGCTTCCTACGACTATCAGTGCTGATTTTGAGCAGAAATTTGCACATTACAAATCCAAAGTCAATGCGGATTTTTTCAACAAAGCAGTAGAAAAGATAGAGTTCCATTTTATTTGCATCTGTTCTGTGGCCATCAGTTGGCACCAACAGATTCGAGATGATAGTGAAGATGATCAGATTCTGAGGACTGAGATCATCCAATCTTGCCTCAGCAGGGGTGTTGAATTTGGATTGAAAATAAGTCATGAGTTTAGCACTGTAAAAGTGATGATAGGCAGAAGGAAATTCCTCATATGAAAAGAAGTTTGCAATTTTTCCTTTGAAACTGGTTCAATGCTGGTTTTCAAAATGGAGTTCACAATGTCAGGAGTTAACATGATGTCCACAGAATTGACCCTAGAGATGAGTTCAGTGTGTGATTTACCCTTTCTAAGATTAGCAAAGAATTGATATAGCATGTCAGGGTAAAAGACATTAGGAATGGTCAGAATATGGGTCCATTTTGGAATTCAAACAGTTTGACAACAGATTCAAGATCAAGTTTACGGAATTCATAGGGAATGATAAGTCTTTGGGTGATAAAACCTTTTTGAGAGACCAACTCAAATCTGTCTCTGGCTTCATCATCAATGAATTTCGGAAGAGGAGTGGGTTCTTCAACTGGTTGAGACACAGGATCCTTTCCAGAGCGTTTCTTGCTTGAGTTTGTGTGGCAGATGCTTCCACATTTTGAGCCTCAGATCTAGTCCTTGGAGACTTCCTGGTGGAAGGTTCAGGAGTTTCTTACTCCCAGTAGTGTTCTCTTCATTCTGCTGATCATCAGTGGGATCAGCAGACTGTTTTTTCTTGGATTGAGGAGTGCTCTTCCTCTTAGCGGACCTCTTTCTTTTGGCAGAGGATCTTGTGACAGTTTTATCTCCCTGGTCAGCCTGTTCTGGTTCCTCATTTCTACCAACAATGTTCTCTTCAGAGTTCTGCCCATCCAACTGTTCATCAGATGATTCAGCAGTTTGGATATCCAGTTTTCTTTGGGCAGTCTGCTTCACCTTACCACTACGGGTTATAGTCTTCTTTTTGGGTGCCACAGGAGGTGGTTCCAAAATTTCAATATCTTCATCCCTAAGCCTAAAGATCGTCCGACACTAGAAGATCCTCCTCTCATTCTAACCATGATGCAATGTGGATATGTTTTTGGATAAGGAGTGTGGTGTACAAAGAAGGAGTGCAGTAAGAACCAACTGATGAATACTGAGAAGCCGCAAGGAGAGGGTTATATGATTTTAGGGTTTCGTATGTAAATTAGGAATTTTGGGGTAGTTGGGTGTTAGGAGTGCCTTTTATGAATGATTAATGAGCAGAGAGGTGTAATGGAGTTGGTTGAGTCAATTTCTCGAAACTTGGTTTGAGGAGAGAGGAATTTGAATTTCAAATTTTAGAGAAACTGAAAGGTCGCGTCCGAGACTTATGAAGGAAAATGAATTGAGAAGAGTGGATAACTGTCTTATAGGACTCATTTTTTGAGTGTCGGACGTCCGAACGAAGTGATGCGTCCGACACAACCGTCCGAGCCAGGGATTTTCTGGACCTTGGATGAAGAACACTGTCGGACGTCCGTTCCAATTCATCGGACGTCCGATAAGGATTGACTGGAAATAAGACTCAGAACATTTTTTCTGTAACACCCAATTTAGTCCTTAAAGACACAAATTGATCTAGCGGAAGAGCTTTTGTGAGGATATCAGCGATCTGTTCTTTAGAACAAACAAACTCAACACGGATTACCCCTTTGAGACAAGATCGCGAATAAATGATGCTTATATCAATGTGCTTAGTCCTAGAGTGTTGAATGGGATTTTTTGTTAGATTTTTGCACTAGTGTTGTCACAGTACATGGGTACACATTCATATACTAAACCGAAGTCATTCAATGTGTTTTTCATCCATAACAATTGAGCACAACAAGCACCAGCAGCAACATATTCAGCTTCAGTAGTGGACAGAGATAGCATTTTGTTTTTTACTAAACCAAGAGACCAAGCAATTTCCAAGAAAGTTGCATATACCAGTAGTACTTTTTCTATCTATTTTACAACCACCAAAGTCGCATCAGAGAATCCACACAAAGGAAGTTCATGACATTTTGGATACCACAAACCAAAATTTAAGGTTCCTTTAAGATATCTCAAGATTCTTTTTACTGCATTCAAGTGTGATTCCTTTGGACAGGATTGAAAACGAGCACATAAACACACAGCAAACATGATGTCAGGCCTACTAGCAGTTAAATAAAGTAAACTTCCAATCATACCTCTGTACTTCTTCTCCTCAACTTTAATACCTTCCTCATCTTTGTCTAGTTTGGTAGAGGTGCACATAGGTGTCCCAACAGGCTTTGAATCCTCCATTCTGAATCTTTTCAGCAACTCCATGGTGTATTTTGTTTGATTTATAAATGTTCCATCATGGGTTTGAATCACTTGGAGTCCAAGGAAGAAATTCAGTTCTCCCATCATGCTCATTTCAAATTCTTTTTGCATGATATGGAAAAATCCTTGCACAAATTTTCATTAGTAGCACCAAATATGATATCATCCACATATATTTGCACTATCAAAAGATCTTGTGAGCTTTGTTTTGTAAAAAGTGTAGTGTCTACAATGCCTCTTTTAAAACCATTTTCAATCAGAAATCCACTCAGACGTTCATACCATGCTCTAGGAGCTTGCTTTAATCCATATAAAGCTTTTGAGAGTTTAAACACGTGATTTGGATAAGATACATTTTCAAAACCAGGTGGTTGGTCAACATAGACTTCTTGATCTATAAATCCATTTAAGAAGCACTCTTAACATCCATTTGAAATAATTTAAAATTCTTGAAACATGCAAATGCTAAAAACATTCTTATGGATTCCAGCCTGGCTACTGGTGCAAAAGACTCATCAAAGTCTATTCCCTCTTCTTGAGTGTATCCTTTAGCCACCAGTCTAGCCTTATTTCTAACAATCTCCCCTTTATCATTCAATTTGTTTCTAAATACCCATTTTGTGCCAATGATAGGATGGCCTTGTGGTCTGGCAACCAGAGTCCAGACTTTGTTTCTTTCAAATTGGATTAACTCTTCTTCCATAGCTAAAATCCAGTGCTCATCATTCAAAGCATCAACAACATTTTTAGGTTCAATATGTGATACAAAAGCAAGATTATCTACCAGGTGTCTAGAGGAACGAGTCCTGACCTTTTCAGAAGGATCACCAATTATGAGCTCCCTGGGATGATTATGAGCAAATTTCCAGGCTCTTGGAAGATCATTAGGAGTAGTGGTATCTCTATTATTCACTTCTTCAGCTGGACTGACTGAGCATCATTATCCTTTGAATCAGTTTCTGGTGAAGCAGAGTCATGGTCATTGATTGCTAGTTTCTTTAGTCCTTCTTGAATACCTGTGTCATCATCTTCACCACAACTCATAGAAATGTCACCATTAGATTCATCAAAAGTAATGTGTATAGCCTCCTCTATAATCAATGTTCTACGATTATAAACTCTGAAACCTTTTTTTTTCACAATATCCCAAGAAAATTCCTTCATCAGATTTCTTGTCAAACTTTCCAAGATGTTCCTTGATATTCAAACGAAACATTTACAACCAAATACTTTGAAGTAGCTGACTACTGGCTTTTTATCATACATGAGCTCATAGGAAGTTTTGTTCAAATTGGTCTTAGAAGAATTCTATTCATGGTATAACAGGCTGTGTTTATGGCTTCAGCCCAAAAATATTTTGGTAAATTGCATTCACTAAGCATGGTTCTGCAGCCTCTTGGAGAGTTCTATTTTTTCTTTCTACAACTCCATTCTGTTGAGGAACTCTAGCAATAGAGAATTCATGGGTAATACCATTGTGATCACAAAATTCTGGAAAACCACAGAACTTAAATTCTGTCCCATTATCACTTCTAATTCTAACAATTTTCAAGCCAAGCAGATTTTGTACTTTAGCAAATAATGAGGTAAAATTCTTAAAGGCATCATCTTTATGAGCAAGGAATATTACCCAAGTATATCGAGAGAAGTCATCAACAATCACAAAACAATATCTCTTACCACCAAGGCTTGCAGTCTGTGTAGGGCCAAATAGATCAAGGTGCAGAAGTTCAAGTGGTTTTGAAGTGGAAACACATTTCTTAGGTTTAAAAGAGACCTTGACTTGTTTTCCAAATTGGCATGCATCACAGATTCTGTCTTTTTCAAATCTGATTTTTGGAAGACCTCTAACAAGTTCCTTTTTAGAAATTTCTTTCAGCAAGTCCATATTGAAGTGACACAACCTTCTATGCCATAGCCATGAATCCTCATTTGCTACTTTGAGACATTTGAGATATGAGGAATCAAAATTTTCAAGATACACAACATAGACATCATTAACTCTTTTTCCTTTGAAAATAATGTTGAACTTTGAGTCAAATATAAGACATTCAAGCTTTTTGAATATACAAACAGATTCCTATCACACAATTGGCTAACACTTAACAGATTGTAGCTCAAATTATCAACAAGAAGAACATTGTGGATAAAAGTTTGATCATTCTTACCAACATCGCCAATGCCAATAGTTTTGGCTTTGTTATCATCTCCAAAAGTTACCTTTCCACTTGCTTTTTGCTTGAGTTTAATAAATTGTGATGCATCACCAGTCATATGTCTTGAACATCCACTATCAATGAACCATTTTGATCCTTTAGCACTGTAATCCTGGTTCACCTACACACAAACCCACAAGATAATACTTGGTACCCTTTACATATTGGGTCCTTGAGAGTTAGTCTTATGTTTGACTATCCACATGCATCTCATCCCGTTCCTCATATTTTTCTTAACATGACAGTTGCTGTACATGTGGCCAGATTGACAACAAAAGTTGCATATTGACATAGGATTAATCAAATGAACAGGTTTGATGAATCTGACTTGCCTTCTTCTGTGGATAGCAAACTCATTTGTATTTTGGTTCAGTCTTATTCGATGAGTATTAACATAAGGTACAGTGTCAATTTTTTGAAGATGATTCTGTTTCACATGATGTAACAATTTACATAAATCATCCATCCTTTTTCTCAGGCTGCATTGCTCCTTTGAGTAAGTCACAGTAATTTTTCTTTTTGTAAAGTTCAGCAAGCACATCAGTTTCAGTTCTTTCAGGTTATCATTTTCATGCTTAAGGCATTTGTTTTGTCGAAAAAGATTTGCATTGTCTTGTATTAGAAAGCTGATTTTTTGCTTCAGTTCTTTGTTTTTAGCATAGGATTCTTTCAAGCTGTCATGCATTTTTTCTAGAAAAGAATTGACATCATCATCAGATTCACTATCACTATTGATTTGAGAGTTGCATTGTGTTACCTCTTCATCTCCAATGGCCATGAAAGCTACTTGAGCAGATTCCTCTTCTTCTTCAACTTCGCCTTCTGAGTTGCAATCATTCCAGGTAATCTGGAAATTGTTGAACTTTGGTTTTCGTTCAAACTTGTTTTCCTTCTTTTTCTTCATTGGACACTCATTTGCATAATGTCCAGGTTGGCCACATTCAAAACATTTATCATTCTGCTTCTTGTTGAACTCTAGTTTCCCTCTATTCCTGAAGTCATTAGTCTGATTCTGGAAGGAGTTACTGGATCCGCCTTTCCTGAATTTTCTCTTATTGAGAAATCTTTTGAAGCCTCTTGTGATGAGTGCAATGTCACTATCATCACCTTCTAAGTCATTTTCATCCAGTGAGGCTGTTTCATCTTCATCTTGTGAAGTTTTTAGAGCAATACTCTTCCTTCCTTTTGTGTCTTCTTCTTCCTGCAACTTAGATTTAAGTTTCAGTTCGTAGGAGGTTAGAGAGTTAATCAGAGATTCAATGGATAAGGAATTTAAATCCTTTGCTTCCTCTATAGTAGTCACTTTGCTTTCCCAATCCTTTGATAGAGCGTTCAGAATTTTCTGTTCTTTTCACCTAGAGAGTATTCCTTCTCGAGTACCTCTAAATCCTTGATCAGATCATGAATCTACAATACATTTTGTCGATGTTCTCATGAGGCTCCATCTTAAAAGATTCATACTTGGTGACCAGAATGGACTTCTTCTGTTCTCTTACGTTGTCACTGCCCTCATGGATTTCTCTTAACTTATCCCACATTTCTTTGGCAGATTTAGTGTGAGAAACCCGTAATCTTTCCATTTTCTAGGTTTTATTATATTTCCAGGTTTTCTTATTTTCAATGGTTTGTTTTCTGCACTTTCTGTATCCGGAAAATTTTCTAGATAATTTTTATGAGTAAATATAAGTTTTAGATGATTTTTCTAGCATTGGTGAGTTTTTAGAAAATTAAGAATAAATAGTGGACGTGGGACCCACTAGTGCGAAAAGTTCGGAAAAATTCGGCCAATAAGGTTAAGTTTCGGATACTGTGAAAAATTTATCGGGTGTTAAGAGATAAGTAGTGGGTGTGAAGTGATTGATGTGAGAGAGAAAAGAAAGATAGGAATGCATTTAATGAGGTGACAAGTGTCACATTCTCATTGGTTGGACTTTAAGAATTACTATTCACTTTCTTGACTTTTTTGACCAAAGGATTAAATATCAAAAAAATGCACAAAAATTGCCATTTTCTTACCTCTTATGGCCGGCCCTCTCTCAAGCTCAAGAAGGAAGAATTTCATCAACTCTCAAGCTTCCATATGGTTCAATCCACCAAAATAAATTGCCTATACTAGATTCTACTCCATATTATCCTTCCATTAGGTGTTAGTAAGTTGATTAGTGAAGTTTGTTTGAAGGTCTAAGGTGGCCAACATCCCTCTCTCTCTTGATTTCTTGGTAAGTGATGCTTGAAACACCCTACTACATCTAATAATGCTTATTTTGTGCTTAATGGGGGCATGAGAGAAGGAATATATGATTTGTTTCTTGATTTGGCTTGTTTTGGTGAAGTTTTTATTTTATTGGGAATTTTTCTGGTTTAATATGATCTTGATGTTGGGGGCTTGTATGATGAATTGTAATGGTTGGAAATGGCTCTAGTGGATGTGAAATGTGGTTAAATGCAATCAATTTTGGATTTGGTGTGAAATTTGAAAAGTTAGGGTTCTTGAACCCCAATTCTGTCCGGTTTTAGATCACTGGGTTAGAGGCCGAATTAGACTTTGCTCAAAACATGAAAGTTGTAGGTATTGATGTGTTTGAGGTGCCTGTAAAATTTCAGGGCATTTAGATTAGTGTAGAGTGAGTTATGACGAAATTACTGTAGCTGTTCTGCTTTGGACAGAATGCGAAAACTGCGATAGTAATTGGCCATTTTGACTGGAATTGGTTTGGATTCTGGAGTTGGTGTCTTCTGATGAAATGTAGCTGGATGTCTTAG